AACGTAAGCAACCTGCACCCGTTTGCCCCCCCGTCCCCTATGTTTTCTCCCCCCCCCCCCTAACCCCTGGTACAGCCCGTACCCTTTGTACCGCTGTGCACCCCCAGCCACTGTGCCTATTCAAACCTATACCCGTAGCCCCGGTTTGGCAGTCATGTTCAGTCGTGTGTTCTGCAACCATAGGTGCATGCAGCATACACATGAGTATACCTCCTGTCTGAATGCAAAGCTGTGGCTCTCTGGTCTCTGGTACAGTCCTATACAAAAATTGTTGTGCACTAGCTAGGTTACTCAATTGTATGATCTTAAAATACTGTAAATGCATATGCTACACGTTAACTGTAGTTTGGCGATCGAATCCTGATGGCTTCTAGAAAGCGTCTTCGTAGCTTGCAATCAGTGCTGTGGGATTCTGCTGATTCTCCACAAGCGTTACACAGCGAGTGGTTTGGAGCTGGGGTGTGGCCGCCAAATCCCGAGACTGTAGCTTTGGTACCAGCAACTGTGGATTCAAGTTCTGGTTCCGATCATGAGGCAGATTTGAAGGAGCAAAACAGGAAACTTCACATCATCATCCAGAGCTTGAGGAAGCAGCTGCAAAAGCTTACCACCAAGGATGTCCTTTGTATGTACCGGGCACCCACTGCAACGGCCCCAATACCTACGAAAGTGATGGATCCCTGGCATTGGTACCGCAACATGGATCAGGAACTGGCTTCATTACCTAGAATGGTCCAGGAAATCGTGCCAAGCCTTGAAACCACCAACTTCAGTAGTGGGGAAATCAGCTTTCATCTGCACTTGGGTGACTCGGCCACCGCAGGGTCAGCCGTTCTTCAGCATTGCCGAAGTATCGTTAACAATTTATTCTCCAGACACCCGGCAATATTCAAGATTGGGCTTACCAAGTCACCTCTTGCTCGGTGGCAAAACCCTGTCTACGGTTACAAGAATGACAAGTATGACAAGTGGACTGGTATGAAGGTCATCTTTGCAGCTAAGGAAGCTTTGCCCGCCGGCCTAGTGGAGTCCGCTCTTATTCAGCAGTTCCTTACTGTACCAGGGTGCAGGAATGTAAATCCAGGTGGGGAGGGTGTTGACCGAAGCTGTCATGGACCATACTTTACCTACGTAGTCTACAGGGTCCTGGTGCCGCCCAGCCGACGCAACCCAGACTAAAGGTCGAAACCTCCAAATATTACCTCGGTATATACACCCCAACTAAACCCTATTATATAAACCCTACAAGCGCTAAACCCCGAAACCGTATATAACCCTAAGCCCGAAACTTACCTAAATCCTAATATATATCTTAAACTTATATGGGTTTGGGCTGCTCGGCTTAATTGGCTGTTTGAGCTGCGCAGCAG